TTTTGACAAAAGTTGTATTTAGCTGACCCCTCAGAACATAAAAGATGAGTGCAAAAGTAAACAGAAAATACTATTGTGTATTCTTTGCTACATTTCCAGTTTAAGATGGTTTCAATATGGTTTAAATTTAAGGAGCCCTGGAACAACATCCCTCCACTTTATTAACATATTGGTTAAGTTACAACATACCAATAATGCCATTTCAAAGGGCAATATGGTGATACATACACCTATAAATAAGGTCAAGAAGACTGAAGAAGCAAGACCTGACTGCCACTAATTGAAAATTATATGCACTGAAGGATATCTCATTTCAAGGGGAACAATACCAGGCTGAAGTATCCATTCTGACCCGCCACTGTGACGTCACATATTGCTCAAGTCAAAATTATAGTAAATGAAATATAAGCCTTATTAATACCATTAGCACAGAACCCATAAGGTGGTAATAATACTGCTTTTTAAACAAATATCAATCTTACCTCGCCTGACTTAGGTCTAATCCTGTCACAGAAACAGATGAATCATCTGGCTTTGCGCGTCGTACCCACTGGCAGGGTCCACCTGTAACAGATGCTGCATCTGACAGAAACTCATCTAGAGTAAACATGGCTGCACTGATATGCCTGCATGCTCCATCGGCCCTAAAAATACATGAAAGCAAGAATTTATATTTGTATAAATTATCATTTCTAGTGTGAGCTAGCTTATGTTGAATACCTGCAATGGTATGGTAACAATAAATATTTTTCCCCTTATTGTAATGTTGAAGTCTCGATAAAAAAAAAGAATACAATTTTGCCAGGGAAAATGGAATCATTGAATGAACACACATAACATTATGGCCATGCACCATTTACTTGAGGTTATTCAAAAATATTTCACACACCCTCCTTGACATTCGCAGTATGCTGTCTCAATATCGCCTGCCATGGATAAGGCGATCCACAAACTGTAGGTGTCCTTATTAAGGTAGGTTTTATCACGCTGTGTTGGCCGGACACTTGCCTTTACGAAACAAAGCCCTCCCGAGACTGTATTCTCCAACATTAAAACATGCCTGTCTGCACACAGCCTGTAATCCTCAAGGCTCTTGTAGGCCTTAAGTGCCTTCCTATCATAGATGGCAGTACTCTGAGACAAGTAATTAAATATGTCTATTAAGGTAACTTATAACTAAATCAAAAAATCCAAGATGGCCGAAACCAGGAAGCACATGGCATTTGAGTATAATCTGACCATCAAAATTAACTGTCTTTTGGTTGGATTTTCTCTCAATTTTTTAGTTCCACTTATCATTTATATAACCAGGCTCACTGTGGTAATGCAAATAGAAACAGTAAACATTTTGGAATGGGAATTTGAGTCCTCTGAAAATGTGACAGAAAAATTGACAAAAAGAGTAGCACGGCAAAGGTCCCTGAACATTTTTTTTCTAATTTCTCTGAAACATCCCTTTAATATAGCCCAAAATGGAAGGAGCTTTAGAATTTTGAAATCTCTCATACAAATTAAAAAAATAGAAAAAAACAATTTGAGAAGTGTACTTTTTTCCTTATTTTGATCCCAATTTTTTTATCGGTAATTTTTCAAATTTCCGTTGCTCCTTCATTTTTGATATATGTTTGAAGTATATTTTCTGAAATGTTCAGATATTTTGAATCAGCGGTTTTTCACCGGCTACTCCTAGAAAAAAATCTTCTCAAATTCTTTAAACGGCACTTTTTTTTCTCAAACTAACGTTTTTTGTTGTTCTTTGATGTCTTTGTATTGATTACAGTGTACAAGCATATTGTGAAATAATAAAAACGACTTCTCAGGAAGAGTTTGAAAATTTCAAGATTGTGAAATTTTCTATTTTTTCTGAAAATCGATTAAGTTAACAGTCACCTTAAGCCAAATGGTGGAAAATCCTGGAACTGTTGTGTGAAGTTCAGCCTAAGAGGATCTTCTCTAAATCCAAGCCTACGGAGGTGATCCAGGGACGATCTGTTTCCAGGAACTGCACTTTGCAGATCTGGATTTTGAGGAAGATCCAGCTTGGAAACTGCCTCGGCAATCCTCACCAACTCAGGCTTGTTGTATCCACTACACGTCACTTTCCGCTCGCCCAACCAACGCTTGAGATCTTCCACTTTCCAAGACAGGAAATTTTCCTGCCGATTCATCGTAGATATTTGCGTATTTGTGATTATGATGGAGAAATTGTTTTGCGTGTATTGAAAAGTAATGGCGTCCGAGATTTTCTGGCCCGAGATTTTCGAAAACGGGATTTCGCGAGATTTTGCGATACTACCCGGGGATTTAGAAACTATACTATTAATTTGACTTTTAAGACCAACACCCGGTATAAAAGGAGAGGGGGCTGCCAAATATGTCTGTTTGAAATCTTTGTATCCATAGAAACTAGTCAATTTCAATTAATTTTAAGTGTTTTATCAGTAAATTGGGTTTTTTGTTTTGAAACTTGTTGTAGTTATGTTTTAACATTTGGGAAACACAAAGTATGTGTTGTTTGGTAAAAATATTTTAATTTTGAATAAAAACAAGACAAAGTCACCAAATTGGATGTAAATCCTCGGCATCAGTCCCCGGGGCATCAGTATATCTTGCCCTCTAGTAACTGTTATGTTGAATGCATAAGTATTAAGGGCATATGGACTTAGTATAACCAAATTGGATGTAGATCCATAGCGCCAGTATTTCTTGCAGTCTCGTAACTTTTATGTTGAATGCATAAGTATTAAAGGCATATGAATCTAGTATCACCAAAATGGGTACGGATTGTTTTCAAAATGTATCAATTGGTAGTTATGTAAGCAAAGTATAAATAATACCACAACTAATCAACAAAGTGTCATTTATATGTAAAGAGTGACGCATTTGCATTTGCAATCATCATAATATAACCATAAAACAGCTTAGCGTAAGGTGAATGAAATTCATCTTGATATACAGTTATATAACTGGTAACTTTATAATGTGAAATTGTGCTGCGGGGATTGAATAACAGATGGGTTGAGACTTTTCTAACATAATAGAAAAACGTTTAATTGATAATAAGTGATATGCTCTGCGAGAACAGAAATGTCTGTGCCAAATGAGAAAGCAGAAAATAGCAAAAGAACAATGGAAAACCAGAATACTTCAAATATCTGCAACTGTTCCAAAAAACAAATTATCATATCATGCGTTGTTTTTGGTATAATAGCAGCGGCGATTGCTATTCCAGCTGTGCTGCTCTTAAAAGATATTACTGTTGGTGAGTTAAGTTTGATTTATATTAGTAAATGGTCTATCAAACTAAAATGTTTGTATTGTATATTTTGTCATCTTGATCTGTCAATATATTAAATATGACTAATAGAATACACAAGAAAATTAACTACTTCATGTTATCACTGGCGTTTAACGTTACTTTTACCTACTGTTGTGTAACATATAGATCCCGGCACATGTATCTCTATGTTTTTTTTATTAAATCCTTTGTTTTTTTTGTTTTTATTCATTGATAATTTTTTCCAATGATCTGAATGTAATCGAAAAGGCGACATTTCAATTAAGTTGCGACAAATGGAGCGTAGAAATCCACCATGAACTAAAATATCCCATACTTTGACGTGTTACAGGTACATAAAGCAGGTTTGTAAAAACTTATATTTTCATCAGCGGGTAGATATAGCTTTACGCCCCGCTCTGAGCGGGCAGATATAGTATATCTGCCCCCTACGTCATAATCGCCGTTCGCATATTGGTTCTTTTTTGCACGAACGTTCGCATATTTACTGTAAACGGCAATGGAGAAAAACGCAGACAATCGCGATCTGTTTGATGGTTTAAAGAAGGGAAGGCGCATACGTATCCTTGTTAATAATCAACGATACAAGAAAATAAATGTGGATGTACTGTAATGACCCGAGGGCGCCCCAGGGGATTAACTAATTAATTAACAACTAACGAGCATAGTGTAACAAGCCAGATAAAGAAATTGAAAGAAAGGACTAAATTCAATGCCCCGTGTGGGAATCGAACCTGGGACCCTTGGATCCAAAGTGTGATGCTCTACCGACTGAGCTAAAGAGGCTTAAGCAACTTGTTATCAAGGGTCGTTACACTATCTCCCCCTTTGAAAGGACCACGCCCTCGTGGTCAGCCCTGCTTCCCTAGCAGTGACTACCATATACACAAGGGCGCAAAGGATACAACCAATGCTCTGATCCCACTTCTGACACCAATGTAATGACCCGAGGGCGCCCCAGGGGAATAACTAATTAACTAACAACTAACGAGCATAGTGTAACAAGCCAGATAAAGAAATTGAAAGAAAGGGTGCTAAATTCAATGCCCCGTGTGGGAATCGAACCTGGGACCCTTGGATCCAAAGTCTGATGCTCTACCGACTGAGCTAAAGAGGCTTAAGCCACTACAGCCGGACTGTAGTAGCAACTTGTTATCAAGGGTCGTTACAGTACATCTGAAAGAACAGGAAAATTTTGCAAAATAAACATCTTAGAAAATACTCTAGCATTGGCTATTACACATACTGACCCCCTGTGTACTAACACTACACTGTCCACATAATGGTTAAATATTTGTATATGTACACTTGGAATCATTGATACTTCCCTTCCTCATATTATGTCCATTCTTCCCCAAGAGTCTAGAAACGCTAGTCCCATCCCTTAGATAACATGCCTCTCTGTTATGAGAAAATACTAATATTAAAGCTAAAATAATTTTACCCAATTTCTAGTACGTCTCATTTTTCGAAAAAATGTTTCGAATGTTGATGACAGATTGCGTGAACTATTTAAAAAAGCCATTCTTTTGTAAACCAATGAGAAACTATCGACTCGCCTCAATTCAAAGAGAAAGAAATCCATTCATCTCGTAAAATATATTATTGCGTTCAAAATTAATTCCGTGTATTCGACAACACATGATAGTTTCCTTCAGAATCTTTCACCGGCCCGTATTTTTACTTGCAGGGGATTTGAATGAGGGAGAGTACAAAAGGCTATACTCTCCAATGTCAATGAAGATGACCGACCCGGTTTATTATATCTCATTCGATGACACGTATGGAAACACACTACAAGGCACGAATATTAATGGCACACTATACAATAACCCTCAAGTCATAGCCTCAAAAGTGGGACGTGGTCTATCACTTGATGGCAACAACCAATGGGTTGATCTTGGGATGCATGAAAATGAATGCTTCGGGGACCTCAATTTGTGTTCCATGGGTTACACACTCGCCATGTGGATAAAGTTTGGCGCCAAAAATACCGATGAAATGTATTATTTCTCAAGTGGCGATCAAAATGGGAACTCCAGCGGAACAGATATATTTATTCAGAATGGAATTCTGTGGGCCAGGCTGAGTACCATAGTGTGGACGTGGGAGGCTCGATTCATGAATCCTCTACCGCATGAATGGACACACATGTTGCTGACTTGGAGGAATGACGAGGGGCTCCAGTTGTTCATAAATGGCCAAAATAAATCGACAGATCGCACTGGTAAGCAGCGTAGAATAGAGGTGGAAACTTATAGAAATGTCAAACATTGAAACCATACGTTCAGATGATTTCTTCTGCATTTTTGGAAAATTTGTGTAAAATAATTCGATAGATAGTTAAGTTTGTTTTTCACACTGAAACACTAATTTTGAATTTAGAGAATAAATATTTTTAAGAGTCATAGGAAACTGGCTTCCATACTTCATAAAAGGGAACCCAGGACCTCCCGCTCTCGAGTCAGACGCTCTACCCCTGAGCGATAGGGGCTAGCCACTACAGCTGAGACTGTAGTAGCGACTTGCTATCGAAGGTCATTCCATTATCAAGAATTGCACCCAGACTTGGGTGAACATAGTAGATAATTGTTTTTTACTGTAGAGTATCTTTCCTTGATTGTAACAGTGGTTTTGATTGGCTGGTGATTTAAGGACTTTATGAACACTTGGTTACATAATACCAGAAATAGCCAAGCTTGACCAAGGATATGGAAAGTGTAACATATATCCCCTTGGACCAAGGATGACCGTCTTCTAGAAGCAACCTAAAAAATCGGCTTTGAAGAAATGTCATATGAAGCTGTAAATTATGCATCATTTCGTTATCATAGTGGTTATAAAATTTGCCATGAAATTAAAATGCAGTTATAAGATGGCCTAATGTCTTGAATAATGTAATGCAATGTAATTTCTTTAGTTATTTAGGTTTGCTCGTTTGTGACATCTCACCCTTTTGTGATCTGTTGTTTTTTTCTTTTGGTCATTGTCAATGTGAGTATTCAAGTCATCGTTCATATTATTATTTAGGTACTAGTCGTTCAGCATCTCCGGCACTCAAACGCCAGGTAGTCCTAGGCAGACCAAATGACATATTCGGACAATATGGAGAGGCAGTGTTTGATGAGCTATTCTTTTGGGATTCTTGGAAGCACAAAGACTTCATCGATGTGTTCTTTGATGTCTTCTCAGAGAGTCTGGTGTATTACGCCTCAATGGAGCAAGTTCGCGGAAATTCTCTTCCAGGAGCTGGTATCTATGGGACTGTTAACGACAACACAGTTACAGTGAAGGGAATACTTGGGAAGGGAATATTGTTGAATGGAATGAACCAATATGTGAATATGTCCAATCCCTTTGCAAACATTAGTCGAGATTCTTTTGGTAAGTAGCAATTGCTAATTAAGAAGTATTCAAATGTATTTGTGCATATTGATAACACGGGTCCGTTTTTTCAAAAACGGCATACAGTTAGTTACAGATCCACATAAAAAAAGAAAAATTGATTTGTGGATACGCCACTAAACAATGGTTTGAGACATTGATCAGTCCTTGATCTTATCAATGATGATATTCCCAAAAAACCTGCAGTGCTAAGAAATAAAATTGCAATGATTGTGTAAATACAAAACCATTACCGACTTGAATTATAAAAAAGTTCACGTTGTCATTGATAAGCCTGGACCTACTGATTAACTACAGGTGACCTAGACATGTCTGAGGAAGACGGAGCAACGCTAGCGTTTTGGATGAAAATTGTGTCGAAAAACTCAACATCGGACATGTATTACTTCTCAAGCGGTGATATAACAGAAATGTCAAGTGGTGTAACGGTGCTTTGCAAGAACGAGACGATCCTCACATTGATGTGGACTTCTACAAAGTTTTGGAAGACTTCGTGGGATAGCCCAGTGAAGGGAATGTGGCACCATTTAATTATCGCCTTGGATAAAAATCTTGGATTGATGGAGTTTTATGTCGATGGGGTCAAAGTCGATGAAGATGATGCGCGTGAGAGGGTTTTATATTTACTTGCTATAATATCATTACATGTTCTACATGCTTATAAATATTTAACATATAGTTTTGAGGACATGCAGTCATTATCTTTTGACATGCGCAAATGTCTTTTTGTAAGATTTTCATTTCAACTATGGCGGTCGTTCGGATGTCTGACAACGGTTGCATATCCAAACCTAATAAAATCCTATTAATATATATGTTATCCACATGCATCTCACCAGCTAAGCACCTCATAGTTAAGATAATTGAATTGTTTAAAATTCGTACCTAATCTACTTGGAGTAGCTTGCCATTCCCGTTTAAGCTTACGTAGCAACGCAGCAACATAGCAAAATGATCTGGAGTTGGGAATTTTTTACGAGAGCTATTAGTGCTCAATACGCGTCTTCTATATGCATTCATCAGACCATACCAAGGAGATAATTATCAGCCAATCAAATTTATGAAATAGATTTTGCGAATGCGCATAAAACGAGTGCACAAATCCACATTCATTATCGAACCATTTGCAATAGAGCCATAAGCTGTCGATAAAATTGACGATCGACAAAAATTCATTTAAAAAATAAAAGAGAATTGACGGCGTACTCGACCATTCCTGGATCCTCGAATTTCAGTGTAGGATAAAATCTTCCGGGACTTGTCGAATGAGGCAAGACTCTGGGTCGAGAGACAATGGCATCATCCCAAAATAAAGTGTCAGTGAAAAATATCAACATGCGCAGGACACATTTTCGTAACGCTATATTAGAGTACAGTGTAGGCTCAAGGAGGATTGGCTCTAAGACTGCAACATTTCTTGCCATGTATGGAGCTGTCGTGATTTCAAAAATCTTATTCAAACTGCCGTCATTTTGTTCTTTTCAACATTTGAATCGTGAATTCTGGTCTTATTTTCAGACAAAATATTCCAAAATTCACAGGAAATAATCGAGATATTGGTTCCAATCTTTATGACTGTTTGAATTTATAGTCGGTAATATTTCAGAAAATAACGACATTTTGACGTTTTCATTGTTGAAAAATATGAGTTGCGATCCTGGGAGCCAATTTTCCTTGGTCTAGAGTTATGTGTTTTATCCCGATTCATATTTTATATAACACTTTTATATATAACGTGTTTTATATAACATCATGTTTAATGTATAACTATGTGTTTTGTTTAACTACCTTTTCATATAAATACATACATTGTATTCTCTATGTAACTATTTCCATTACATAACTGTATATTTTGTATATGATTTATATATCAAGGCAATGTTTTTGTTTTTAAAACATTAATATATCGTGCATTTCAATTTTTCAATTTACAGCAGATAATAGGGACGCTTTGCCTCAACTCGACCAAGATGTTTTCTTCGGAAGGCCTAAGAATGCGATACAAAACGTTGGAGAGATTATCATTGATGAGGTGATGTTCTGGAATAACTACCATGGATTTGAGTTTGCTAAACGAATTTATAATATGTATACAGGTATATCATCAAATATAAATCAATAACTCAGTTACATTTAAGTCTTAAAGCCCCTTAAAAATACATATTTTATAAATTGTTGAGAAAATTAAGCATTTTGCAATAAACTTCACATTTTGCTTTGAATCTTTATTTCCCGATCGCAGTGCCCTTGCAGATATTCAAAGAAAAGCGGATTATTAAATCTACGCATGTATGGTATAATATATCCCTTAGATCATGTATACTACATGCCCATGGAAGAAACACAACGAGACGTGTTAGTGGGATCAGGTCTTAACGCCAAATTGGTCGAGGGAAAGGTCGGTAAAGGAATAAATTTGAATGGCGTAAATCAATGGATTGATCTAGGACAACACGGGGACGAATGTTTTGGTAGATATATAAAGTGTTATTGTTTTTGGCCTCTTTGAAATATTTTATAATAGCTCTGGGTAAGAAATGTGAAACAAAAAAGAAAATAATCAATTATTCTTCAAGCCAAGCCAAGTCTTGAAGATAGGATTCATACCCGAACTGTGGGAAATAATCCTCATTTGCAGAATCATGCATTTACTGCTTTGGCATTTGAATTGTTTCAGGGAATTTGGAAATGTGTCCTCATGGGTATACACTGTCTATGTGGCTAAAGGTTGGACCAAACAATGCCCCTGAGATGTATTATTTTTCAAGTGTTGAACAGAACGGAACATCGTATGGAATAATTTTACAGAGTTTGGATGGGAAGTTTGTTGTCAAGTTTAGCACTAAGAACAAGATTTGGAGGGTAGACTATGCCGGGCAAATGAAAGGCCAGTGGTATCACGTGGTGCTTACGTGGAACCGTGAAGATGGCCTCCATCTTTGGATAGATGGTCACGCAGTGGCAACGGATGAAGAGCGTATGTGACCTTTGATATTCATCCCTTAAGTAAGGTCGTTAACTTACGGGACGATTTGGGGAACTCCGTTTTTGTCCGAGGAGTCTTAGCGTT